AGAGAAAACGACGGTAAATGACATTTTGTTGCATTGAAGCTGTAAGTAAAAATTTAAGCAGTTATCTAAACTAACGCTCTCAATAGCATTTAAACTGTTTTAAATTAATTGAATGAATCGATTACAATTTGAAATAAATTTAAAACTTAACAAGGTAATGAAAACCTTTGTGTTAAATATATAATTAATAAAGTTGTATAAATTTTTTAAAGATAATATATTTTATTTTTTTATTTCATAATCGTGGTTGAACAGCCAACCCATTTTTTTTTGGTTTACGACTACCTTTGTCCAACTCCATAGCCTTGCAATTTTGAACCCTGTCCAAAAGACAAGAGAACTCCTGGATCAAGTAGTGGAAGAAATTTGCCTTCATGGAGGACTTTTTGATGGAACTAACCCCCGTTTGCGCTACGTGGAGAGGAAGACAACGAGAATCTCCCACGGTTAACCCGACCGTTAAGAGACTCTGACCCATGATCCGTTTACCACTGAGAACATTTCACGGCAGCACTGTGGTCGGTGCAAACCGGATGCGGAATTCGTATCGACCAACCATCGCTGGGATTTGAACCCGGTTCACCTCATTGGAAGGCGAGCGCTCTGTCCCTTGAGCCATCGCAGCTCCAAATATAATATGGGTCATCTTAAATTATTTAGTAAAATTGTAAAAGAAAATGTAAAGCATTCCTGCTACAGCGCCACCGGGACTCAAACCAAAAACAGTTCAGTATTTTAACCAATATTTATATAATTCTGAATTTTAACTGAGCCATCACGACTCTTTGTGAAAAATTGGTTACAACGTTGTTAGCGTAGTTAAAATTGAACTACCTAATTAATTGCAGAACTTATTTGAAAGTTCTTTTCTGATTCAACGTACTAGCTAAAATATATTGGTATCTCTCTGCATCAAAAAATCGTAAGGGACGTTTTGAATGTTCAGCTTAACGTTACATTTTGTTTTTTTTTCTGCGAAAAAATTATCAGACTTTGAAAATTGAAGTTACTAAGGCTTGTAGGAAAGTGTAGGAAACTTCGAAAATTATTAACTATTAAACGTGGTGGGAAAAATACCATACGGGCAGCAAGAATGCAACTAGTGAGTTGAAATTATGCCTGCTGAATGGGCCATATTTGTTAATGAGATTAACATAGATATTTTCGTTTTTAAAATTCTAATTTGTTTGAAAGTTATTGCAATTTTAAGTGGTTTTTTTTTTTTTTTTATATTTTTTTCCCTTTTTTTAGCTTTACCGTATATTTTACTTTGCTTATAAGTAAATACTTATTATTGTTATTATTATTACTTATTTTTATTAGTTGTACTTATTATTATTATAAGTTCATACTTATAATTACAGTATTAGTTCGAGAATTATTAACTGTTAAACGTGTAGTAAAGAGAAAACCAAAGCTCATTGGTCGACTGTCCGCTGAAATCCAAATAATACAGAGTTGAAATTTGAGATGCTGATAAGGCAAAACCATTTTGCATTTTAGTTTCAAAGAGGTTTTTTCGAAATTCCTATTAGTTCGAAAATTATTTCAAATTTAAGTGCTTTTTCTTGGTTTTTTTTATAGCGTTATTTTCGCTTTAAATATTGATTTTGTATCGAAAATTTACCTTAACCTTTACGAGATCTTTATTTCCTTATTTTATAATTTCACGCTCAAGTAGATGTTAATTAAAATTAGCAAAGAAAGATTACATGTTGCCACTTATAAATCTTAACATTCATTTTTGAAAATAACAAAACTTAATAAGTAGCGATATAAACTGTTTCCTATTTGAATTGCTAAAAGTCTCATATCCGACTAAAATTATTTCTCATTTATTTCTCCATATTTGAATTTCACGATTTGTTTTCCTTAGGTTAATTTTATCGAGTACAGATGATCATTTTTCAAATTTAGGTAATCACGTATTTCATAATGATTAAGACATTAACAAAATTTTCTTACATAAAGCTAAAATAATTCATAATTTTAAGCCAAATGTTTAGTGGAAAATATTGAAATATAAAAAGAAGTAAACAATGATGAAAGAGAATTAATCCATTTCGGGGGTTGCCAGATGAAGTGAACAGGGAGCTGAGCCTTCTAGTTATTTCATTTTTATATTTTATAACCGTCGTTGAACAGCCGACCCAATTTTAGGTTTACTACAACTATTGTTTAACTCCGTAGCCCTGTAATTTTGAACCAATCCAGAAGACGAAGAAACTCCAGGATCCCCCCCCAGAGGTATGATGAAAATACCCCCACAGATATGATTTGTAATGGGACATGGAGAACTTTATGACTCGACAGATTTAACACGCATCACTCACCATTTACTACAAGGGGAGTCTTCGGCAAGCGGGGATCGAACCCACGTCCTCTTGTGCATGGGCTTAGTGCCCTACTAACCAGGGTATCCCGGCTTAGCCTTCAAAAATTTGAAATTTTTCCTCATTTCATAAAATATTTTCGACACTTTTAAAAATTAAATGCATGATAACTCGATATTTTCTTAGAATATTAACTGCCGTAAAATTATGGCAATTTATTCGGAGAAATATCTATATTTCTGTAAAGGACTTTTTTAAATTTTGTTTTTAAATTTTTTCTTTAAAACGGATACATTTGCTATTTTAGTTTTTTTTTGGTTGTTGAAACACTAACTAAATTCAGAAAAGTTTCGGAAGTTCATATTAAGTTAACAGTTCACTCATTTTTTTTTTAAATTTCTATCCTAACTTATTTTATTTTATTTTATAACCGTCGTTGAACAGCCGACCCAATTTCATGGGTTTACGACTACTTACGTTCAACTCCGTAGCCTTGTAATTTTGAACCAATCCAGNTTATGATACTTAATTTGAAGTTAAAGTAATATGCTCAATTATAGCCTATTTACTTAATGAAAATCAATCGTAGATTGGATAGAAGTAGTATACACTTAGATAAAGGGTGGATGATTTTATTAATCGGTATTGCATTAAAAAAATCTGTGTTTTCAATCAAGTTCATTGAAAAGTATCTATCTATCATCATTGTGCATCTATGTGCTAAATATTTGGGCAATATAATTTAATTTTCCCTTTTTTTTAAACTAGAGTTGAAGGATTTTCTTTTTTAAGTAAATATTTACTAATACAGTTTATTTCTTCATTTTTTTTATTATGTATTAAATATTTAAATACACATTAATGCTCATATCTATTCTCAATATAATTCTTTGAGTAAATAGGAATTTTGTTATAGTTAGAAAATTATTTTAACTTTTAATTTTTCCTCCTCTTTCTGCAATATAGTGTTTACCATACATGGTTATTTTAAATTTTTCTCCTTATTTCTGCAAACTATTTACTAATGCTTGTAAAGAAAAATTCTAAAATAGTAAAATAAATGCATTGTTTTTTTATAATGAAAAAAATTTAATTAAAATAGGTGAAAAAAAAATCTCAGGTTAAGCTTTCGGTTTCGCTGAAAACGAATGGACACTTTCAATAATTTAGTCCATTAAAATATATATGGCTATCATCATCGTCACAGTCTATGTGCTTATACTTAAAATTTCAATTAATGTAATTCGATTTACTCCCATAATTTCAGTGAATATTAAAGAATTGGGAAAAAAACTTATGGAAAATGAAAAGATATTTTAATCTACATTTTTTATTATTTATTAAATAATTAAGTATACTGTAAAGTTAAAATCATTTCTTACCAGTTTTATTCTTTGAGTAAATAGGAATTTTGCTATGGGTAAAATTATTTCTATATATATTCATGAAATTTAATTCCTGTTTCTCAAATGAAAACTGAATAAATGCATATGCTTGATTCCAATACTCTTATAACGTATATTAACGCAAATAAAATAAAGTTAATAGAATCTACTAGAATATATTAATTTCCTTTTTTTTTGTTTAACTTAATTTTTTTAAAAGGTTTTTGCGGGGATCACAATTTTTTTTAAAGATTATTGCTGGTAATAATTCCCTGCATTAAATTCTAACTAGAATAAGTAAATAAAAAAACAATAACTTAAGCTTTTCCACATTTTTAAAATCTAAAACTATTCAATATAAAAAATTTATTCAAAATTTTTTTTTGCTTAATATGAAAATAATTAGAATTATTCTAACTAAGATTAACATGGTTGAAAAAATGAAAGAACAAAATTATTTTATATTTAACTCATCCCTAACTCATTTAAACTCCTTTTTTACTAAACTAAAAAATCTTTATTATTTATTCTTTAATATACCGTCAACTATTAACAATGTTCAATGAGTACCATATAAATTATTATATGATATTATTATTAGAAAATATGATAAAAGTACGTTATTTTAAGCCACATTTTTATTAAAAAACATTAGGGCACAATTTATTATAATTATCTTTGTTCTCATATAGTTATTTGCCATCTAAAATTGTTAGATTTAATTGCGAAAATTCAAATGAAAGTAAAAACGTAATGGCTTTCACGGCAGAGCAATTGTAAAGGAACAACGTATAGACACAAGTGACGTCAGCTCGTGAATAATCACGTGACTCCCCGTTTCAGATGAAAACGATAGTAAGCGCTTTTTTACTAAGAAATAACTTAATTAGCATTCTTAGAAAAATATTAAAATGTTTTCTGGTGATTTAGAAGGGATTTTGAATGAATTAAAATTTTTTAAAATTTGACTGTAATTGCCCATTGTTTTAAAAAATGCTGCCAACTAAAACCATTATTAAGCACAATGTACTTTATATGTTGACTATGATTTTATTTCATTAGAAAATATTCTTGAAATTAAATGAAAATACGTAAGTTAATGAGCAGTTATATCTTTTGCTGTAAAAATACCATGAGACTTTTTAACATTTTACGTAAATCTGCGCACATTGAGTCAATTGAAGATTTTTCTTTTGAAAAAGAATCCTAACTAAATCCTTGCATTTAATTCGTAGAAAAAATAAAATCCAGTAACTGCACAAAACATATTTAAACAATAAAATCCACCCAGGCAGAATATTTATTGTAACTCTAATCTACAAATTTGTAAAACATTTCTCTTATACTACAATACAGAGTTTCCACATTTATAAATAGAATTTCTTTTTCACTTGATGTATTTCTACATATTTATATTACATTGATGCACATGACGCTACTTAAATGAATGACTAAAACAGACCAGCGTAATAAAATAGTGCAACTAAACAAAATATAATAAGCTGATTTCTTATTCATAAAAATAGATGGAATGAAGGAAAAGCGAATTATGTTCATTGATTTTCGTCGACGAATCGACGCTTTCGTCCGGGTCCATTAGCAAAACTGGCTGCTGATAAGCCCATCAAGTGCTTAGCAGCCTGGCTTCCAGAAAATCCTCTTGAAAGTCCCAAGTCCAGTCCTCTTTTCTCACTGAAATATAACAAAATTATTATCTATGGATATCACAAGGCTCGTACGTTTTAATTTAACATAATTTGTTTTGAAATGTATTGAACTCAAGGCGAGTTTAGTACATTCGGTGATGGTGACAGCATTCCAATGTAATATTTAAATAACTTTTGACACCTATCGATGACTATAAATTTATTTATTAGAGTGCATGCATTGGATTTACTTAAATAGAGTTTTAGAGTAATACTTAGAACTAAAATTGTCTTGACATTCTTATAGGATCTTTTATTGGACAGGACAGACCACGTGACTTAATCATTATCTTCAATAAACGAAGAATATCCGAGTATGTTCGTCTGCCATCAGCCCAACGTTGTTCTGAAGGAAATCTTTTATTCTATATTATACGAGTTTTTAATTTAATAAAGGTATAATACATTAGTTAAAAAACTCTGAAAGTAAATCTGTTTAATATACGTTTTAACAAATTTGCTGTAAAATAGTGTCTTTTGGAAACGAATGAGGAGATCACATGCACTGTTTTTTATACAGATAACAGGTATTGCTTTTTTATACAGATAACAGGTATTGCCCTACCACGACTTCTACACTTGATTTTACTGTTATTGATCGGTTATCAAGAATGCTACTTTGTATGAATCAGTTAGTTGCTCTTTAGCAACTAATAAGTAGTGTATATTATTTAGCGCAGTATGTGTTATGTATATATATGTATATTTGTGTGTGTATTTAATCATGTAAGTTTAGTACTTAAAATGTAAAACTCGCAGTCCCTCTGTCAAATAATTTATAGTAAAATTGTGAAAAAGAATTTAAAAAAATATGTAATCATAAAAACTTTTCAATTAGTATTATTATGGAAAACGTGGTTCTAACGAGAGTTCTAATGAGACAAAAGAAGATTTCTTTCCAATAGGAATTAAGATTTTTTTTCTACTAAGTTTTACAGGAGGAAGGAAAAATACTGTAAACTTTGACTAAATTCACTGACGTGGCTGTAACTATGACGTAAGTAATTTCTTGATTGAAAACTTATTACTATCTTTTCACTTGAATTTTCCAATCTAGAACTATCTTAATATATAATAATATCTTAATATAATTATATTTAATTTCATTTGGTATAATAGTAATATCTTACTGTTTTGATTAAGAAATATCTTAATATCTTAATATTTAAGGTTTTTAAAAAAATTATTAAGTTTGCGAAATGATTGACAGGACAGCAGATAGTTTTCAATTTTTGAAAGACATAATAATTTTATAACTAAAGTGTTGCTTGCAAAAGAATTTATATATGAATATTATGTCTCGAGAGTATATATTTGAGTATTTTTACTTTTAGATTTTTTTTCTGCAATGATAGGTCGCACTCACGCTTCATGAGAAAAAATATATTCTGACTTCATGCTTCTAACTAAAAGTGTACTTTTCATTTAGTTATCACAATATTTTCTAAACTTTTTGGGCACACCTCGTGAAAATAATTCTAATAATAAGCTTGTTACAATAAAGAATCAATAAATTTAGCTTCTGGAAAATTTTAGGAATGTTATTGTGAAATACCACTTTGTTAATAACAATTTATAAATTTTTGATGTACCTTCATTCAGTTTTAAAAAAAGTTCTATAACTTTTTAATGAATTTTAATTCAGTTCGAAAACTAATTCTATCAATTTTTAATGTATCTTGATACAGTTAAAAAACAACCTAAATCAGTTATATATCTTAATTCATTTTAAAAACTATTTACATTAGTTTTTAATGTATCTTATTGATACAGTTAAAAACCAACTTCTATCAGTTATATATCTTAATTCATTTTAAAAATCATTTCCATTAGCTTTTAATGTATCTTCATACAGTTAAAATACAATTAATATCAGTTATATATCTTAATTCATTTTAAAAACTATTTCCATTAGTTATTAATGTATCTTGATACAGTTAAAAAAACAACTTCTATCAGTTATATATCTTAATTCAGTTTAAAAACTATTTCCATTACACGTAGTAAAACCATCAAACATTTAATATGATACAAAAAGTATTACAGTCAAAGTAAACCAGACTTACTTAAACAAAACCTAATATTTTAACAATAATTTATGTATGTACTTTTTCTATGCGTAAAAGGTTAAAAGGATAAATGCTTAATTCAAACAATGAATAACATACATTTATGTTAAAAACTACATGAACAGGATTTCCATTATAAATAAGACAAAAAATCCCTTTAAAATCCCTGTCTTTATATAAAGCAATAGAAAAATTTCAAAAATAAAAGAAAAACATTTTTTGTTAATAACGAAGTTGAAAATTTAAAAAAAAGTATGGATCAGTAACGATATTTTTAGTTTTTATTAAATTATTATTTTTTTACTTCTGAATATTCCAAAAGAAAAAAAATCGTATTTTAACAGTGCTCTGATGTTTTTTTAATCCTGATTTATTTTTAATCTTAGTATTAATTTGTTTTAGAAAAAAAAATTCGTTTTTCAGTGGATGACTTATATTCAAATTCATAATGCGAAGAGTTTTATCTAAGTAGAGCTTAAAGTAAAAAACACATATTTTTCTGTTTTTGTTTCTCATTTGAATGATATTTTTCTGTTATTAAAGTCATCTGAGAACTAATTTTATTGGTTTTTATAAAAGCAAAGGCGAAATTCAAAGTCTTAAATAGTTTTTTTAAGATGATAAAAATATATCATATTTAAAAACCTCTTTGGCTACACACAAAATAATATAATTAATGTAAAATCTTTGGATTTTGATTTATATAGAAAAATTGCAGTGGTCCACAATTGCAATTGCCTCCACATCACTTGAGGCATACTTAATGAATGTAGTTTTCAAATTTCAAGAACATTTGAATTATAAAAAACATATTTATTAATTCATCATAAAAATACAATTGATTTAAATTTATACCTAATAAATTACTAGAAAGCATTTGTAAAGCAAAAAAACGTTTCGAAAAAAATGAGAAAGATTTTTTTTTATCTCACTGAGAAATTTATTTTCTCAATGGAACGTACAAATGTCCGTGTTACTGCAACCACTTACTATTTACATTTCCCACCGGTCTAATAAACATTTCGGAAATGTTTCAAATAGTTTCAAAGACCATGGCGAAGAAAGAACCATGCTGTCATCAATTGAGTTAATATAAAGCTATTAAAAAATTGAAGTGCAGACTGAATACACACATAATAAAATATCATTAAATTCCCTACTTCACAAAATTTAGCTCATTATTCAATAACAAATGAATATCGTTATTGCATACAACTTTGAATTACCCCATCTTCTGGAGTTTAAATCTTCGTCCTTCAAGATGCAAATTCTGGTCTCAGGACATGATGATAATGCGATGTTAATAGACGCACAGGGTGAGATAAGGTAATGAAGTTTCGAGCATTTACTATAAAGATTTTCGATTAATCTATCGATATATTTCCCTTATGTGGCACCATAAACTCTGGAATTTCTCCTTCAATTGGCAAATACTATAGTTATTTTTCATGTCGTTAAGTTTTTTTAAGGAATAATTTAGGTGTTGTTGAAAAATTAGTTACGTGTTAAGTATTTAATTAGATTCATTTTGTTAAGTTGACTTACGTAATACTTGTAGCTTAAGTAGTGTTGAAAATTTAGTAAGACGTTAAGTATTTATTTAAAATAATTAACGGAACTTGCCTTTTCTGAGGAATAGTATCTTTATGCTAAACCATACTCAAGCTTTAGTTCGAGAGATGCATGAGGAAGAACACGTCATGGAACATTAGAATGAGTTTCCAGTCTTACCTTACGACAGAGATATGTTTTTTTATATAACCGTTGTTGAGCAGCCAGCCCAAATTTTTGGGTTTACGGTTACTAATGTTCAACCCCGTAATCTTGTAATTTTGAACTCAATCCAGAAGACAAGGGAACTCTTTGATCAAGTATTGGGAGAAAATAGCCCTCATGGAGGAGTTTTTGATGGAACTAACCCGCATTTGTGTAATATGACGAGGTAGACCACGAGCACCTCCTGCGTTTAGCCTGGCGGAAAAGGGCCTCTAGCCCATGATCCGTCTATTACTGAAAATATTTCACCTCATCACTGTGGTCGGAGCAAGCCGGATGCGGATTCGTATCAACCAGCCATTGCTGGGATTCGAATCCGGTCGCCTCATTGGAAGACGAACTCTCTATTCCCTGAGCTATAGCGGCTCCACGACAGAGATGGAAATAATTTTAATACTTCTGTTGCCAACTATGCTGAAATGTCCCGAACTCATACTTATGGTGGTCTGTATGATTTAATGGCTCCCGGTCAAATTTTCAATTATTACTAACATTTAATACGCGAAGATCTTTGAAAATACCACGGACATCTCTTGAAAACAGTTAAAATTGAAATCCAAGTACTTCCGCGAAGGCAAAACTGCGGGTAAACAGTAAACGGGGAAAAAATTGGTTAATGTTATTTAGATGTCAGGATTGGAGAATTAGAATATTTGAATACAGTTGTGCTGCGTGATCTGTGTGATTTAGTAACAGCTGGTCAAATTTGAAATCATTACTAAAATTTTACAAATAAGGAACTTTCGGCAATATCGCTATCACCTTTTGAAAACAGTTGAAATTGAAATTAAAGTTCTTCCGTTAGGGGAAGCAGCTAGATTGGGGAAAAAATTGATTAATGTGTTCTTTAGAACTAATTATGGTGTTAAGATTGGAGAAGAGGTTGGAGAATTAGAATATTTAAATACAACTGTGCTGTGCTTTCGACATGGTTACCATTGAAGCTTATATGTTGTATTAGATAGTTTTAAAAGGTGGTTAAGCTATTCGCCAAAGGAAGCTTGAATTTAATTATTTTGCAAAAATCCTTTAATTATACTTTTAGATTTGGTGTCCAAAAGTAATATGGCCTTCATATAATAATAATTATTATAAGACATTTGTGAATTTATAATAATTTCACATGAATAAAGTGACAATT